CCCACAACACCCCATATCAGCCCACAGCCCCACATGGCCCCAAACCTTGTGGTCCCCATCGCCATGAAGGTCCGCCAGCGCTGCGGGACAGACATGGGGCTCTTATGGGGTGTTATGGGGGGCATGGGGTGATATGGGGTGTTGTGGGGCTCTATGGGGCAATTATGGGGTGCTATGGGGTGCCTACGGGACTCTTATCGGGCACTATGGAGCACTTATGGGGCACTTTTGGGACGCTCCTCCACCACCCCACAACTCCGCCCCACAACCAACTTCTTCCCGTCGTGCCCCGCGCTCACCCATACACGTGCTGAACGTGCGCAGCCCGGACATGGCGTCATCGTGCGCCGCCAGCCACAGGGAAGAACTGAAGGGCAGGGAGGGAACCAAAAATGTCGCACCCGCAGAGCGCGGGAAAACGCCGCCAACAGCGCACCGCAGGGTGGCGTCAAAAAAGTCACAGGGCGGGGGGCGGGGGGAACACAAGACCAGAAGTGGAGAAGACCGGGAATGGAGAAGCCCGGAAATAGGTCCTTCCTTAGAGCAGCGGTCCGGCGCTTTCACTGCTCCCCCCTCATTGGTTCCCATCTCTTCGGTCCCCCCTCGTGTTTACACCCTTTCCTATTGGCCCCCCCCCCCCCCCCTCCTGGTCCTCTCGCCATCCCATAATACTCCCCTTTTAGGCTCCTCCCCCCATTCGCCTCCATTATATTGTTCCCCTCCCATCACCCCCTCACATTGTGCCCCCCCTCCCCATCCTTTTCTTTCCACCCCCCCGGTCCCCCTCCCCTCGAACCTTTCCTCCTCCAAGACCGCCATCTTTGGTTGCCGTAGCGACGCGACCGGAAGTGACCCCGGAAGTGGCGTCGCCCCTGTCGGTTGCTTAGCAACCGTGAGGCCTAGCGACGGGGAAAAGCCTTAAGAGCGGGGAGGGGATCCAGAGGGTCTACAAAGGGATTTGCGAAGGAGCTATGGAGTTCTGGGGGGCTCAATGGGGTCATGGGGGAGGGGGGGGAAGGAGGGGGTGGTGTCCCTGTGGCAGTTATAGGGAGATCGGGGGGGGCTGGGGGGTTTCCTAGAAGTCCCTGGGGGCCGAGGAGGGAGGTTAGGGAATCTGAAGGGTTCTATGGGGCCCTGGGGAAGTTCTAGGGGCGTTCTAAAGGGTTCCGAAGGGTCTTCATGGCGTTCTGGGATATGCGAAAGGGTCTTGCATAATCTCCAGAAGACTTTGTGGGTCTTAGGGAATCTTGAGGGCGTCCGAGGGGTTCTATGGGGTTCTGGGGGGCTGTATGAGAATTCTAAAGGGCTCTGGAGGGTGTCCTAAAGGCCTCTGGAGGTCCCGGAGAGCTCGCGAGGAAGTTCCGAAGCTTCGGAACTCTTCGGCAAGTCCCGGCGTTGAGATTGGGTACTTCCGGCAGCTCTCAGGCACTTCCGGCAGCGCTCGGCTGCCTCCGCCCCCACTGCTGATGCGCTCGGGTATCTCCGGCAGCGCTCGGGTAGTCCCGCCCTTTTCTCGACCTGGTCAGACTCCAGGTTCGGAAAATCACGATTTTTAAACATCTCCGATTAAAAATCGTGCTGAAAAAGGCGAATTTGGAGGCAGAAATAGGGCTGCCCGGCCTCGAAATGAGAACCTGAGCAGAAAAATGAGGGTTTTGGACCAAGAAATGAGAATCTGAAAATTCAGGGGGTTTGGACCCACAAAAGAAATTTTTTAAGTTCAAAATGGGGCATTGGGCCCCAAAGTGGGGATGGTGAGAACAATTCCCACCATCAAAACCCCCAAAACCTCCAAAACCCCCAAATCGTGCCAGAATGGGGGCAGTTTGTTGCCTTCAGGAGTTGGTATGAGGATACCTAGAGAGGTTCCAGGTCCTGCAGTGGTGTTCTGGGACAAAAAATACGGATTTGGGTTAAAAACTGATGCTTTGGACCTTAAAATGAAAACCCACAACCCCCAAAAATCCCCAAAAACCTCAAAAACAACCAATTTCTGCCAGGATGGATCAAATTTATTGCCTTCAGGACTCCCTGTGAAGTCGCTTCCAAAGGTCCTCCAACGACGCTCCGCGCCAAATCCACGGGTCTGGGTTAAAAACCGAAGCTTTCCACCCCGCAAACTGTCGACAAAGCCCCCACAGAGACCCCGAATTGGCCAGCAGGGGCTCCGTTTATTGCCTTTAGGAGTTGGCGTTGGGGCCCTTCTTCTTGCCAAAGGTGGGCACCACGTTGACAAAGCGCCGGTTGTACTGCATGCGCCGCTTGGCACGGCCCGTCTTCTTCTTCTTCTTCTCCTGTTTGGCCACCTGGGGGGAGGGGGTGGGTTTTTTTTGGGGGGGAGGGTCAGTGGGGCACTCCTCTCCCCCCCTCACCCCCCAAAATCATCCCACAATGCTCACCTTTGGGGTTTGCCCCCTCACTTTGCCAGCGCGGGCGAGCGAGCCATGAACTTTACCTGAACACAAAAGATGAAGCATTGAGACGACCCTGCTCGTTAAGTTAATTAAGATGCCCCACTAACGAGCTCCCCATCGCCATACGTACCCCCCAGCAGCCGGGCAGCCACTTCCAGAGTGGAGAATTCGGGAACACCGCTGTGCTCCAGCACGGCTCCATCCTCCAATGGGCTCCCGCCAAAGAGCAGCACTTGGTCCTCCGGAGCGATGGATTCCAGCGCCGCGATCCGCTCCTAAATTGGGGGGAAGAATTGAAGCAGGGGCACCCCATGGATTTTGGGGGTCAGAACCTCCCCCACACGTTGCCCCCTCCCCCCTTTTCTGAGGGGTCTCACCTTGATTTGGGCGACGGTCTCAGAGGAGGAGACCTCGATGGTGTGGAGGCTTTGGGCGCGGATGAAGAGCTGCATGGTGGGGAGGGGGCTGTGGGAAAGATGGAGGGGGAAAGTGGGTTAGGGGACCCCCCCCAAATTGAGGGGGACACCAGAAGAGAGAGCATAAAATAATGGGAAAACTGAAAATAAGAAGAAATATTGCCACCCCCTCCCCCCAAAAATGAAGGTAGGAGCAAGGAGCTGCATTGCGCTCCACAGACCCCCCAAATCCTCACAGAGCACCCCCCGATACCTAAAGAACCCTCAAAAATCCAAAGACCCCTCCAGAGACC